CGATGGGGGGAAATGAGGGTCCCCTGCCCAGGCCTGACACCTCTGGCGGAGGCGTCAGACCCGGGCAAGGGGCCGATCCTGCGATTGGAGGATGATGGGGGTCAATGCCTGAGGGCTCCCAGTATGTGAGAGGGGGCAGGCTGGGCTGAGGGACACTCCCCGCCCCCACCCAGTGCATGAATTTCGTGCACCGGGTCCCTAGTGTATATATAAAGAGTTAACCCCATCTCACTTTTAGCAAATGGTCAATTGCTAGAAATTACTGAAAGAGTTGATCATTATAAAACTGATTATAAAATTTAATGATCACTATTACTTAAAAGACTGCCCTATGAGAGTCTATTTAAAATACTTTGCATGATAACAAAAGTATTGTATTAATTCAATACTCGTTTTGACTTTCAATAACTATCTTGGAAATACATAGCATATCCAAATAACTCAATTCATACATTTGATTTATAAGAAGAACGATTAAGGCTTTAGTTTATTTCTTGCTTCGGGTAAATAATACCATGTACTCTAAATGCCTATGGCCTATGGCCATGACTCATGTGTCAGGGGGCTTTCTCATGCCTCAGGGTGTGAAATGCCACCCAGGACTATGCTCTGCTGAGATAGAAAACGTAGCAGAAAGGAAGACAAGCTAGAAACTATTGTAGAAGAAAGACATTCAAGCACCAACAGTACAAACCTTCCTGAAACAAGCAGAGAGAGCTTGTCAATGGAGGTTTTTCCCTGCATGGCATAGCAGTGCTCCTTTTCCAAAGTAACCACTTCAGAGCTCAGAGCAATCAGTCTGAAGACGGGCATAGGGGTCCCCAGAGGCTGGAAAATGGAGCTGTACATCAGCTGGAATTCTCGGGCAAAGGTTATGCTGCGCACTTGATATGCAACGTGAACAAACTGCATGAAGCAGATGATAAAGAGCACAAAATGCCAGGAGAAGATGTCGGCTGCACAGACATCTATCCAAGCCCAGATAGCCGTGCAGAGAAAACCCAACCCCAGAAAACTGAAGACATAAAGGAGTCCGAAGAACCCACTGCCACCCATAAAACCTACTACAAAAAAAATACTGGCAAGATGATAAATGGCTCCCTCGGCCTCTTGCTTCCAGTTTGTGCAGACTGGGTGTTCATCTATTAGGTTCTTCCATACAGTTGAATTTCTTTCCATGGCTGTACCACCATCTGGTTCACTTTCCCATTGATGTTAGATGATATCGAGATGAGTAATTAAGTCCTTTGCTTTTCCATCATCTGAGTTTCGCTAAATCTTCACAAAACCAGAGAAAGCCTGGTCACTGGAATTGTGGTGATTAAGGGTTTGGTGTGTATAGATCTTGAAAAACTGAGAATCCCATGCTAGCTTTGGTAAGTTCATCTGGGCTCCTGATTTAGATCTAGTCCACGAATATTTTGTGGTTTCCTATGTAAGAAGAAGAAAAAAAAAGGATCTAGTTAAACAAGGAAAACTGAGATATGTATTTAAATGCATCACCAACATTACTTATTCAAGATGAGCTCCTGTTTTCCATAAAGTTGGAATATTTTAAGCACCAATGCTGTCAAGTGTTAAATTTCTAGGAGATGCAAATTCATTTTTAGAGTTATGCTTATTAATAATAAAAAAATTATTAACAGACACTTTGGTATTTGTTAGGACTAGCTAACTACGTATTTTTCAAGGGAGCTAAGTGCTATAGTCAGCCAGTTTCCATAACAGTAGTTCCGTGTACCTCAGAATCACTTGGGAAAGTGACTAAAAGTGCAGAGTCATAGACTGTTTCCAAGACATGCTGACTCAGAATCTTCTCTGGAGGGAGGGCTACAATGTTGGCATTTGGAACAAGCTTCCTACATTATTTTCATGCATCAGTGCCTGGCCCTCAGTGGCCCACCCTCCGAGAGACACTGTTTGACAATGTTATTCACGCCTTACAGATGAAGAATTTGAGGCTCAGAGAGGCCAAGCAATTTCTCCCAGTCCACACGGTGGTCGGTGGCAGAGCAGAACATCAGCACTCGAGCTTGTATGCTGGGTCCCATCCTGTGGCCTCCCACGAAAGATGTTTTAAATTAGGCACTTTAAGGAGCCCTAATAAATAAATAAACCACCATCTGGTAATTGAAGTCAGATACTAAGAGCATATAATAGGCTGTAAAGTGTGCAGTGGCTTAGATCAAAATTATTTGAGAAATATAAATTCAGTTCTACTTTACTGTATTAGAGGTTATTTCAGAGTAAAGGTTGCCTCCATATAACTAAATCAATATGAAAGTTCCTGCTACTGGCATATTTATTTACCAGATGGTCAAAATGTTACCGACTTGTTCCCCTACACATATATTCTCTACCCTTTCAGCCATATGGTAAAAATGCTAATACGTGATCTGAGTCACATATTTAAACTATGATGACAGAGCTGTAGGATACGTATCCTTTATCACCAGGTTTCTTAACAATAAATGGCTTCGATGTGAAGCATTCATTAGATTGATGCTTTAAAGTCATAATTAACATTCAAAACCCTTGAACTTGTGTGCTATATTTAGGGTTATTTTTGAGACAGATTACTTCCAGAACACCTGTTAATAAAATATCAGGTATCACAGATTCTGTTTCATAGAAAAAAAATATGTACACGAGGTGAAAATGACTTGGCTGAAGTTTAAAAAAAGGAATAGAACTACATATGGAAAGAAAGATGGTGCTTTGTTGAAGTTCCTGATTTTCCATCTTGGATAGGGATTCTTTGTCAGCAAGTAATGACCTTAAGGATGCTTACCAGGTGAATCATTAAAATAAGCATAATAATAACAATAATAATAACAATAACTAGACCTATAACTTACAGTGATATTTTTGTTTTGACTCAACTTGCTTTCAAATACATTTCGAACATTCTGCATCCCCCTAATTATCACCTCCCCGCCCCCAACACTCTGAGATTCAAGGGAGACCAGCACCCTGAACATGTTTAATTTCTCCTCTTTTAAATAAAACACAAAACTATATACTACTGGATATTCAAAGAAAAATGTTAAAAATACAGGGAGGAGTGAGAACTGTGAAATACCAAACTGCAAATGTCAATTCCCCTGCTGTTTTACTTTTAAAACCGGGGCATTTTCACTTAATCACTTCCTCAGGATACCCAACAGCCACCGCAGCCAATATTAAAGAGCACTGCTCGTGGAGCTCTGAGCTTTGGTTTGAGCTTCCTTAAAAATTTATAATCCTTGACAAAATGTTAAAATGATGCTAGTGGGGGAAAGGCCAGGTAAACCGTTTGTGGCACTTCAGAAGTCAGCTTATGGATCTCTTGTCCCCTTACAATGTTGACTTGGGGGACACATGGGGCCACATATATCCCAGGAGTGGACCCTCTATGATTGTAAGAGGAACTGTGCTCCGGGTCCTTTCCACTTGGCTTCAGTTCCAATAAGCTGCTACCACGCCATTTTCTAACCCTGATACTGTATCACTGCCCTGATGGCATTACTCCACACCCTGCCTTTCTCCACGTGGTGTGTTTTTATTCAGTCACCAAAACAGATGCACTTTATTAGAAGAGGAAGGACTGACAGGGCCAGGTGCCGAGCCTGAGTGTTCCTTTGCTATGTGCCAGCAGGGCTGCATGAACGCTGAACATGATTCATCAGCCAGCTGCTAAAGGCTTGCAGGCCTTAAGTCATGTTTTTGGGTAAATAAACGCTGGAATGCTAAAGTGGCACAATGGATACATTAGGCAACAAAATCTATCTTCCCTACCAAAGAAGTTAGCACACGGAGATGCAAATGATGGAGACAAACTAGAATGCAAATGAACACAGTAATTCCAAGCGCACGCCCCGCCCCCCCAAACACACACTTTTCTTTTTAAAAGCTGAGACCCTGAATAGTTATATAAAGGAAGGTTTGAAATGTGATATAAACTTGGTGGCAAACTAATGAAGATTAGCTCGGAAATTACACTGGTCTGTTCAGAACTTGTACATTTATCATCTCATTGCATCACGCCGACTGTCACGAGGGAGGCAGGATCTAAATCATCATGCCAGCTTACAAATGAGAAGAGCAGGGCACAAGATTGGTAAAGTCGCTGGCTTCAGGTGAAAGGCAGTAAGTCACCACAGCGGGTGGAAGCGCAAGTCCCCCTCCGCTCAGCTTCATGCCTCTCCAGCAGCCACTGCCACCTTTCAAGGACATCGACCTGATATATTAATGTGTTGGGGGAGACCTAAGTGGGATATTCTGCCAGTACTGTTTTGCCAGGAAAATAATAATCCCAGCAGTGCATATTTAAGACCTGCTATATCCACTTGTACTGCTCAATCCATAATGCATAGAAAGCCACTCATGGAATGATTTGCTTTGTTACTATTCAACATCGACTAATTTGCTCTCCTAGATTCTGAAATCCTTAAGGGACAAAGAGAAATATTTCCGTAGTTCTAACCCCTGGCACTCAGTGACTGTTAATTGAATGCATCAGTGTAGAGCAGTGATTTTTTAACCTTTTTCATCTCATGGCATACATAAAGTAATTGCTAAAATTCCGCAGCACACCAAAAAATATATATTTTGCCAATATGACAAAAAATAGGTATGATTTTAATTCATTCACACCGGATGGCTATTGTTGTGTTGGGCATTGCCATTTCTTAATTTGACAATCTAAGGGAAAAGAGGCCAGTGCCCCTGACTAAATAGTCAAGTATTGCATGTTTTAAAAATTCCTGGGCCCACACTTGATTGAAAATCATTGGTGAAGAGATGCAAATACTCTGCCTTCTGGGTCCGAAGTCTCCATCCAATTTAATGGATGGTCTAGCTTCTGTCACCCAGGGGAACAGACGTGGGGAAGATCCCAACACCAAGATAGTTCAGTACAGAAACATTATGGAATTGGGACATCACTTATGTAAAATGTCTGGCACAACTCCACATTCAGAGGGGGAATCCTTTTGTCTTCTTACAGCCTTAGCTCCTTAAACAAAGCAATTGAATTACTGATTTGATTAAAAACAACTTTGGCCCTGGCTGGTGTGGCTCAGTTATTTGGGCATTGCCCCTGCACCGAAAGGTTGCGGTTCGATTCCCAGTCAGGGCACATCGATGTTTCTTTCTCTCTCCCTCCCTTCCTCTCTCTCTCAAATCTATATATATATTTGAAGATTTTTAAAAAATGACCCTTCCCTGGTTCCACCCCAGAACTACTGAGCCAGGAAGATGAATCCCTAAGAAGCTCCCAGTTTATCCCTACGCACACTCATGTTTGAGAGGCATTGTTTTATGTTGTTCTTGAATGGCCTCTGAATTATCGCTGCTCGTCTGCAGGGCCTCAGCTTTGTCCGTTCCTGGTTGACCACTGGGCTGTCTTTCTCGGCTGATTACTCGGTGCACTGCTCTTTGATCCCTACTTGTCCTTCTGTGGCTGTAGTACTGGTGTTAGCATACCATTCTGTTATGTAGTGGGTCCATTTCGCATTACTACTTAACAGAATGGATCTAGTCTTGGCTGTATCCCTAAATGACTATGTGATTTTTTTTTACTATTTCTAGATGTGTTTCCTCAGTGGTAACATGAAAAAGCTGGACAAAATAATAAGAGGTCCTTTAGTTCTAAAATAACACGACTCTACGTGGAATATAAGATTGATTACTCCAAATGTGAGTCAAAATATAGAGTGGAGGGGCAAAATGGAATTAAGGCTGCAGGTCTTAACAGCAGGTTTATATTTGGGGCCCAAATCTAGAGGTGTTTTAATGAATTACTTAAGGCCTGTGTTGGGGGCACAGACACTGGCATTTCCCCTCATAAATTTATCAGGGATTTTGATGTGCAACCAAAAGAACTACTGAACTAAAGACCGCAAAGGGGGTCAGGGTCAAGAGACATCAGAACATTCTGTAGGCTCTGAGTTTTGTTTGTTTATTTTTAGAGAGAGAGGAAGGGTGAGAAAGGGGAGAGAGAGACACATCAATGGGAGAGAAACACTTGGTTGCCTATTATATGCACCTCGACTAGGGAAGGAACCTGCAACCTAGGTATGTGCCCTGATGGGGAATTGAACCCACAGCCTTTTGGTGTATAGGATGATGCTTCAACCAACTGAACCATCCAGCTGGGGAGAGACCCTGAGTTTTTATGGCCTTTATAGACTTCTACCATATATTATATTACATTATATTGATGGATATAATATACTAGTATAATGTACTAGGGGCCCAGTGCACAAATTCGTGCACCTTGAAAGGAACTGTGGGCCACAAGGCTATGGTGGACACAGGGGCGGGTCTCGGCCCATCCTCCATGCCCCCGCCTGGTCCCTCCCGCTATGGTCCCCCCACTCTCCTGCCGGCAGCCCCACTCCCACTGCTGTGGCTCCCCTGCGTTGATGGCACCGGCCCTGCTCACAC